AACCGCCAGAGATCGAATTGTACTTGTCCAATTGTCGTTTTTGCCCGTCCTCATCCAGTTCAGTTGATTAGAAAAAGCCCACGCAAGAACCATTGTGTGCAAATGGCAATATCGGACCAAGAAGCACACAAACCATTGCCAAGGACCCAGCAACCACGCAAAATCGTTGCACTCTAACGTGAAGCGAGTAGGTGGAGTGGGCAACTTCATCCGTAAGCGCAGTTTTCAGGTCCGACTCGTTCTTGGATTCCTTCGTGTTCGATATTGCTCCATCGTTCAACTTCGCAAAATCAACGATGATATGGTAACGCGCTCGCCATCCTACAGCTGCAAGAACTACGTAAAACTCAAACAGTTTAGCCACAGCTCTCATCAATTGTAGCCATCGTCACCAGTAGGACGAATCGATCAGCTGTACCCAAATTGCAGGCTCCACTCTATCGCCCCCATCATTAGGTATGATTCGAAATCTACGAGTCAAACTGATATTAGGTTATCGAAGCTGCTTGTTCATGCATCTCTGGCTACATTATAGCCTAGGATGGAAGTGGTGACAACTCAGTGTTTTTTTCTTTATCGCAGTTCTGGCGCGCATCATTCACCGACTACACATTTTCGTTGTGCCTTACCTTAAGTGCATCCAACGAATGGCGTTTTTTTGCCATGTTACCAGCGACAATATCTCATAGCAGCGCTTTTTCAAGTCAAGGATGTATAATTTACCCATCAAACCTTCAAGTTTTAGCAATCAAGTTCTACCACTACCGTAGCGTCTATCGTTGGTATAAAAACAAAGTTGTAGAGCTGAAGCCGCTATTGTAAGCCATGCACTTCATTTCTAGCGAAAATCTATCATGCGAACCCTCATCTTTCAGTTGCGTACACACGTGCAGGAACTAGATCACCAAAACTAGCTCGCTGTTCGAGAGCATTCGCCACCTGCAGCAAACGCTCCTCCGTCTTGCGACCACCCATAAGCTGCAGTCCGAGTGGGTAGTCACTATCCCTCGTCAGTGCTGCCGGAATAGAGATGGCAGGAACACCAGCCATATTCGCCGGCACGGTCATGACGTCGTTGAGGTACATGCTGACCGGATCTTCCTTCGCCTGTTTGTTCTGGACAGGGAATGGACCTGAGGGAGTCGTTGGAGTCAGCAACACATCGACACCTTGCTCTTCGAAAACTCGCTGGAAATCCTGTCGGATACGTTGGCGTAAAATCACGCCTCGTTCATAGTAGTCACTCATGGCTCCAGCGGACAGGACGAAGGTGCCGGATAGGATACGGCGCTACAGTGGAAATCAGCCACATCTTTAGTTTATCATCCCATAATGAGAACCTCAATAATTTTCTACCTTCACTTCTTCTCCAAACCCCTCCGATCGTGTTCTGCAATACAAGTCATGGAGGGCATCAGATTGATCCTCTTGCGTCTCCAATGCGATGTCCTTGGCCCTATTGGAAAAATACAGTCAGACGCCCATCAACTTGATGATCAAGTGCAAGTACAGTAAATCAGCGTACAGCAGCGTACCTGTAGCCGTAGCGAACGCCGTCATAGCGAGACAGGTTGGAAGATGCCTCAGCACAAGCCAGGATATAGTACGCTGGGATGCACAGCTTTGTCGTCGGAAGCGACACACTAACAACCTGAGCCCCTGCACCACGAAGCCATGCGACACCGTTATTCCATACGCTCAGGATTTCCTCGGGCAGCTCTTTAACGAAGTATTCTGCGGGAACGCCAACTCGAACACCAGTGAGGTCGACTTGTTTGGATTGCTGTGATGTCTCCACTGTGTTTGAGCACTACAACGCACAAGATTACTAACTAGAACTCCATTGTGAATGCCAGATAACCGCAACTTACCCAGTTTTCAGGCAGCTCGTCAGTCATGCAAGTCGAATCCATGTGATCAGGGCCAGCAATAGCTTGCAAGACAACGGCGGCATCCCTATCGCACCACAAGCATCATTAACGTAAATCCTTACATGTAATCTGCTTTCGTTACAATGCACTCACCCGACAGATCTGGCAAAAACTCCCGGCGTATCCAGCGAGCTCGCGTACGAAATCATGCCATGACGCGACACACGTCCGTACGACGGCTTCAGGCCGACAACACCGCAATACGCAGCAGGCTACCACAAGAAAAAGCCACACAGCTCGTGAGACTCTTTCCACCAATTTCCATCTCTTCACACGTCGCTCACCTGGCGTACCGACCCTCCCGTATCCGATCCCAGCGCTGCAAAACAGCACCCCGACGCCACCGCTGCTGCACTGCCACCAGAACTCCCACCGGCCACAACTGCGTTGTCACCGAGATCCTTGGACCACGGGTTAATGGTGGCTCCGAACTTGGAATAGATTGTACCGGAGCCCATGGCAAACTCGTCCATGTTGAGCTTTCCGAGCGGCACGGCGCCCTGGTCCAGCAGTCGCTGAGTCGCTGTCGACTCGTATGGAGACAAAAAGTTCTCTAATATCTTGGAGGAGGCTGTGGTGGGCACATTCTCCATGCAAAAGAGGTCCTTGACACCAACAGGGATACCGTCTAGGAGACCCAGCGAATGACCAGCTGCACGTCGCTCGTCCGACGCCTTGGCCAACTGTAGCGCACGCTCGAAGTCCGTGGATACGAACATATTGAAAGCACGCGTCTTCTCCACTTGATCGATGCAGGCCTGCGTAAGCTCCACGGCCGAGACATCACCCGAGTCGAGAGCCTTTGCCGCAGTCAGCAGCGACTTGCTGCACCAGTCGCTGACGTTACGGGAGATTGATATTTGCCATGCCGACTTGGCCACTTGCGCGGCAGAGCTGTGGTAACATAACAGGGTTAGAACGGGGTCTTAACTGTTGCTGTTAATCGCCACGAACAGCACGCACCGCCGCGAGACACACATGCGCATCATGACCGCACAAATGGTGTTATGACATCCTACCAGTTATCATATGAAATATGGCAGGTATTTTTTTTTATATGCTCCCATTTTGGTATGCTTCGCCGAACGACAAAACGTGCTGATTTTTGCATCTACTTTTTACGTGTAAGAAGTGGCTTGTTTTTAGCTAATCAAATCATTTTTACGCACAAACTTTTGGCCAATCCTCATGAAGCCCCTATTCTGGTTGGCCTTGGGCGAATCGATTGGTCGAGCGTCTCGCTGAGCTTGCCGACGCCGCCAGTCTCCGCCATCCCATTATTTCCATCGAAGAAGCGGAAAAGGTTTGCTTTATGACAATGACAGCCCGCAATAACCAAGCAGGCAATGACAAACTAACCTGATGATGTGGTAATCGTTCAGATGTCGAGCGATACCCTTACGTGGCTGCTGACCAAGAACACCTCGTCCTTCCTCGTGAAGCGCAATGGCAACGAGTTTGCCCGCGAGAAGTTCAACCTGCTGAACCGCAACTGCCGCAAGTACTCTGGTCTGGCCTCCACCAAGGCCGTGGACATCTCGCTCGCGGACAAGAAGGTGACGCTCACCACCAAGATCGAGAAGGCCTCCAAGAAGCCCGTCAAGGCTGAGAACGCCGTGCCCCTCCGTAAGGGTGCTCGCGGTGGTGCCAATACTATCCGCGCCAACATCTCGCGCAACTACTACCGTCGCGACCTGAAGAAGGCCGCTCTGGCCAAGTGGTCGCGTCTGTCCACGGTCGCCAAGGTCGAGAAGGGTGCGTTGCTACAGACTTTATTACAGAAATATTCAGGTTCAGGTGGCTCAATTATTTTGCATATTTTACAGGTGTCCTCCAGAAGAAGGCCATCCGCAGCCGTCGCATCAAGGCGTAAGCGATTGGATCTGTCGTCAGCCGCTCTTGGGCACGTTGGGAATAATGACAGGGAATAGAAGTGCAGGTCTGCGACCAGAGCTTTTGCTCCCGTGAAATGTACGAGCTCTCCAGAGGGTCTTCTATCGTCCTCTAGTGTTTTTGTGTTTTTCTTGTTGGTGTGTTGTTGGCGTGGATACAGCAGATCTCGAACAGCCACCAGTCACAGAGCAAGAGTCGCTTGGAGATGCCATATTTACGGCCGCTGGAGCTCGACAGTAGGCACGAGCTACGCAGCTCCAAGACTCTCATCGGCTCAGGGACGTCGACCTGCGACTTAGTGATCTCTGGCGATAATATCCTGGAGCTCCATGCATTACTCAACTTGTCTACAGACAAGGCGTCGGCCACGTTGGTGCCGTTCTCGACTACATCAGCTGGCGCCTGCTACGTGAACGACGTTGTTGTGCCTCGAGAAGGAACTGTCGTCGTGCATGGAGACCGTGTGGCCTTTGGGAACCCACGCAACGTCTTCGTGTTTGAGCTCATGCCTCATCCACACATCACTGCTGTATCGCAGCGGTCGATTGAAACGGAGAAGTCCGTTCAGCATTCAACCGACCAGGCTGGTGGCAACCAAGCATTTCGAAAAGCGTTAGATACCTTACGAGGGGATCGTAGAACATCTACTGTCAATGCATCTGTCGCTGCTTCCATTCAAAACAATTTACAGGCAGCAAGGAGTCGCAGCAGTGTATCTTCCTTTGCTGACTCTACAGCACCGTCACTAAAGTGCAAGGAACAGCTTAGCAAGTTCTTACTAGAGGCTTCAACTGATTCGTTGCTAAGTGACTACGTCGAACGCAAACTCAATCAACGGCGCAGTAGGCAGTCTTCTACTGCGAGCTCTAGACGAGTCTCGAGCGGTGTCCAGCAGTCAAGAGTGCAACGTAATTTGGTAGAAGTGGAAAAGCTACGGCTTTCGCAGCGAATTCGCGAAGTAAATGATGTAAGTTGGGCGCGGATAAAGGCTGTGATCACTGTCATTTACTGTTGTGTTTGATGGTGTTTCTTGGGCAGGTTCTAAATGGGGACATGGAATTTCAAGAGAGCTACTTAACGCCATCGTCGATAAGTCGAAAACCACGTGGGGTGATCACCAGTAACATGCTTTCAAATCGTGGAGAGTCCAGGAGTGACGAGGACAGTTATGAAGACGAAGACGACGAGCTGCCAGTTATGATAGAGAGGGTTAAATCTCCTACACCGGCGAATCTCTCAGCTTCGATTATGACGGAGCATTCGGATCAAGAAAACGTCTCAAATCCACCAAGTCAAGAAGAAGGTGGAGCGGAAAGAGAACAGCTTGAACACTCGCTTAGAAGTATGCCGGCATCTGAGACTACTCCGTCGCAACAATTCCCTGACAGTCCAAGCCAATCGTACAGCCCGCCGAAAGTGCACAGCTTCTTTTCCAAGGCGATGGAACTAGGCTTTAACGATCTCACTCGCTCGCACTCACGTCCGATTAATACAGCACGACAAAAAGCTGCGAAAACTGCACTCCAGGAGAAACTCATTAACCAGACGATTCGACGCAAGAAGAACGAAATCATGAGTGAAGTTTTTGTGCGGTGGATACGAGGTCTTCGAATACAGAATCAAAACCGCGAGCGTAAAGCTCGACAGCTTGGCGAAGTACGAAAAGCACTCGGAAAACTGCGTCGTGACCAGTATTTTATTCGCTGGCGAGATTTCGCAAGTTTGAGTAACCAAGTGATAGTTTGCCGGCTAGAGGCATTTCAGCAGCGAAGCAACTATCGACTCACTCGGAAATGCTGGGCAGCTATCCGTCTTCACTGCTTATCGATAAGACAGCGATCAACGCTGTTACGCGGACTGATTGTCAAGAAAGCAGTAGTACAGAACCACAGTACATTTCGACGGTGGCAACAATTCGCCCAGCGTTGCTCCACTCGCAACCAATTGGGTGACATCCAACGTGTTGAACACCTTAAGCTCGATGCTCATCTCGAACGAATGTCGGAGCGCCACTACAATCAAAGAATCTTAAAACCACTGCTTGCTCAGGTATTGCAGAAGTGGAAAATGACAGCAGACCGACACAAAAAGCAGCAGTTGATATTGCTGAGAGTGCTTGTTCATGGCACTTTAAAACTCACTGGACGAGCATTGAGAAAGTGGAAAGAGGTTGCAACGATTTCGAGATATTCCATGGACCTGAAGAAACAGACCGAGCAGCAGATTAAGGAATCTACGGATCGTCTAACGAACCAGCACGATCAAGCGCAATTATCGTTGCAGGAAAGCCACGCTCATCAACTCCAGAAGCTCCTGGTCGCAATTGAGGAAAAAGACCGAGAGGTAGAGCAATTGGAGCGACAGCAGCGAGCAGATAACCTCGGAAAGGTGAGTTGGCGCGACAGAAAGTTGGGCTTATTTCAATGTTGTTGCCTAACACCGCATTCACCTAGACTGCAGCGAAGAGAAAATGGGAACAAGAGCTTCGCAAATTCTTTGAAGGCGCAACAATCAAGGTCAGTGTTTCTTGTTCACTGCAAGATATTCTGCCGTTATCTTACATTGTTGAGTCTGCAATAGTGCGATGAAGAAATTGCACAAACCAGTGAGCAGCTCGAGAAGCTGCTTCAAAGTGCTGAAAACGACGTGCTCGGCGCACGGTTTGGTGCTGCACAGGTAGATGATATTGCTGGTAATATGGGCATGTACAGCAGTCCACACTAACTTCTTTCCATCATATATCATCAGTTTCTCGTCGACTCAATACTCCAGCAGAAAATTCGCAACGCCAACGAGAGCACTCGCTTCCAAGAAGCGGTGCGGCCATACATTAAACACGCATCAGCCCACGAAAAGTTTGCACACGACCCCATCTCCGGACTCTCTTCTAACGTTCACTACTTGTACGACATGCTCCAGCAGGTAAACAATTTCTTCGTCTCTGCTTTCCTTTCTGCTCTCCAGTCCAGCTAACATACATCCTTCCATTGCTTTTCAGCGCCTCATGCGACTTCAGCAGCTTCATCATTCGTTAGCGAAACTTGCAGCAGTTTCAGACGCGTCTGGAACGTCTCTGGACCCCGAGCGTCTTCACCATAGCATCTTCCTAGCCGACTCGTTGTTCCATCGCCAACAGGCCCACCTTTCGACCATCATGACGCAGTTTCGTCCACTTGGACGGTCAAAACCTGCAGCTCGTGCCTAGAAATCCAGCAGAAGCTGTGCCAGGATCTGCTCCACGTGCTGTGGCTCGACCTGCTCACTGTCGTCTACCATGGCCTCCATCTGCGCGCGACGTAACGCCTCCACCACAAAGAGCCGCAGCATCTCAGCGCTGAGCTTCACTGCGTCTGTATGGATCTTGCGTACCCGGGAGGCGGCAGCTGCTGCACTGACCAATGGGGCGGAATCAAATAGCTCCTCCTCCTCGCTGCTATCACTAGCCACAGTCTCGGCCGCGCTGGCCGCATTAGCCGCCCACGCGGACTGGAAGAGTTGCTCCACCAGCGCAGGCTTGAAGGTCGGCGGAGCCATGTCGATAAATGTAGGAACTGTGTGGAAGACACCAAAACTGTCACTTTGAAGTTCCCAAACTGTACCGCGGGTACAGTGTACTTCAAATAAAACCATAGGGATTATAGAATGTGAAAGATCCTGATTGTTATAAAATTCAAAACGATCACGTTTGCAAATGAACATAATATCACAGGCTATCTATTTTAAATGAAGCTTTCAGTTAACTGAAATAAATACGCATCCAAGCAGCCTGACCTCAACCACGCTTCATGAATGAGTCATTCATTCAAGCAGTTGACAGCAAGCTGCACAGATCAATTCCCCTGTTCCAGACAAGAGCCCAGCAAGTCGAGTGTAGGAGACGAGATGGCGCAGACACGCAAGCACGTTTTGGTTATTGGCTCCGTGAACGCCGACATCGTCGTAGAGATCAGTCGCCTACCTGTTCGCGGCGAGACGCTGTCCGCATCCAAGGCAGACACGGGCAAGTTCTTCCCGGGTGGCAAGGGCAGCAACCAGGCGGCTGCAGCCGGCAAGATCATCGGCGTTCATCATCCGACACTATGCACCAAGTTTGCTGGCCAATTCGGTAATGACACGCACGGGGAGGCGCTCCAGGTTGCGCTACAAGACGCTGGCGTGGACACGACACTGGCCGGCCACCCGGCTTGTCCATCGGGTCAGGCGTTCGTGTTCGTTTATCCGGATGGCGACAATTCCATCGTCATTGTGGGCGGTGCCAACCGTGCATGGCCGGAGAAGCTTCCTGCCCCTTTGACGGACGCCGTCAAGTCGGCGGCCGTCGTCTTGCTGCAGTGCGAAATCTCCGAGCACATCAATACGTTGGTGGCCAAGACTGCTGCGGAGACCAACGTCCCCGTCATGTGGGACACAGGAGGTGACGATACTCCGATCCCGGCTGAGTTGCTGCCCCTATTGACGTACATTTGCCCCAACGAGACCGAGCTGGCGCGTATGACCAAGCGCGAGGTGAACAACACCGACGAAGCCATAGCCGCCGCGCGGTATCTGCAGGAGCAGGGTGCCAAGAACGTGCTGATCACATTGGGCTCGGGTGGATCTGTCTTCGTTCCTGCTGACGGCTCGGAGATCGTGCGCCAGAAGTGCTTCAAGGTGGAGAAGGTGGTTGACACAACGGGAGCAGGAGACTGCTACCGGGGAGCGTTTGCCGTTGCATTTGCTGAGGGTCGGGAGATGCAGGATTGCATGGCTCGTGCCGCTGCTGCCAGCGCTCTGTGCGTGCAACGACCTGGTGCGCTCCCTAGTCTGCCAACTGGCGTCGAGGTCGTGGCTTTCCTCAACGAGAACGGTTTGTAGTACGTTGACTAGCAGCGTAGAAAGATTACTCGATAGTTTTTGGGTTGGGTTAGATTTACGCACACTCGCGCATTGATTCACAGTTTCTTTCAAGTAGTTTTAAAGTTGCTGCGATAATGTCGTGCATTCTTCACTTTTTTCTCACAACGAAGTTCACATTGTTCAGATCGTCTACACGATGACAGGGTACTTCATTGAATAAGATGAATCATTCGTCGCTAAAGCCGCGCCACATTCTGTGCAAGCCGCTGAAGTCATACCAGTGCCCTGATGCATGTGAAGCGTGATTGAAGTTTGAAATCGTGCCGCTGCTAGACCTCGTTGAAGCACATGGGATAAAATTTATCCTTCTCCTCATTCCAAGATTACCAAGTTCCAGCTAACTAAGCAAATCACTTCTCAAGCCCCGATCAAAACATATTTCAGACATGACGCAGATTCGCCGCCATATCCTCGTCGTCGGCTCTGTAGGAGCAGATATCGTGGTAGCAGTTGACCGTATGCCAACTCGTGGCGAGACTCTGTCTGCCAGCAAGCCCGATACGGGCAATGTTTACCCAGGAGGCAAAGGCAACAACCAAGCTGCTACTATTGCCAAGCTTATTGGGCCAAGTCACCCGACCCTGGTAGCTAAAATGGCTTGTCAATTTGGCAATGACAACCACGGCAAAATGATCAAGGATACGCTGGAATCCGTCGGAGTGGACACGACACTGTGTACGCAAGCAAAATGCTCCTCAGGTCTTGCGTTTGTGTTCGTCTATCCTGATGGAGACAACTCAATCGTGATCGTAAGTGGGGCAAACTCGGCTTGGCCAGAGGAGCTCCCAGCCTCATTGATCGATGCCGTCAAGACTGCAGCCATTGTGCTAGTCCAATGTGAAATTCCTGTTCGAGTTAATGCACTCGTTGCGAAAGCTGCTGCTGAAACCAGTGTACCTGTAATGTGGGACACCGGAGGTGACGACTACCCCATTCCGGCCGATATTCTTCCACTGCTTACGTTCGTGTGCCCGAACGAAACGGAACTTGCTCGCCTGACGAAGCGTGAGGTGGATAGTATTGACGACGCAGTTGCAGCCGCCCGATTCCTACAGGAACAAGGCGCAAAGGACGTGTTGGTGACGCTCGGATCGCTCGGATCCGTGTTTGTCCCTGCTGACGGCTCGGAGGTGCTACGTCAAAGTGCATTTAAAGTTGACAATGTGGTGGATACAACTGGAGCGGGTGACTGCTATCGTGGTGCTTTTGCGGTTGCACTCGCTGAAGGGCGTGCCATGCAGGATTGCATGGTTCGAGCTTCTGTTGCTAGTGCCTTGTGTGTGCAACGAGATGGTGCGCTGCCTAGCTTGCCATCGGCTGATGAGGTAATAGCATTTCTTAAAGCAAATGGTTTGCAGCTGACTCGCGTATCGTCAGCATGCTGACATGAACATGGTGCTTCAGTGTGTTGCGAATATTTACTTTCAGGTTGTAGTCCAATTCCGTATATCATTTCCTTAACAGCTTTCGAGTCTGGAGGCCCAGCGCCTGTCGAAATCCTTTTTGCGCGCTTCTAGTTCGTGTGGAGTTATCTGAAAGACCTCCACCGTCATATTCAGCTGAGGTATCGGGTGTTCTCCCATGTGATCAACCTGAAATCCGTTGCTAATTGAAGAACAATTACTTGATAGCCATTCGGCTACTCGATGCGTCACGCAAATCTGTCCTCCTGCTCCGACATCACCGATTTCACTTGCGATGACTTCAGACAACCCCGTATACGTGATTTTCCCCGTTACCGAGTGAGTATCCTTCACCAATGCACCTTCCGATTCCTGCGCGTCATGGATTCCCATTCGAATCCGTAGACCGCTGAACACAAGTCGATTTGTCTTTGTTTTCTTTCGAGCAGTGGATGGAACGAGGTTATGCAGCTTTTTCGGCCACTGAGCACCGAGCAACTTCATCTGTACCTGAATGCAATATTCAACGGCTTCCTTAATAGTGAAGAAGGCGAGTTGAAAAGCATCGCCAGCAGTGGTGATTTCGTAGCCGCGGAATTGTGCGAGTGACCCGCGAATAATATCCTCATGTATCTCATTCGCGCGACGCATGATGGAACCATCCTCGAAACCCCAAAGCTTAGTAGACGACTCGATATCCGTGAACACGAAGACTGGGTTATCCAGTGGTGGACTGTAACCAGCAGCAGCGTTCGCCATTGCAAGTCCCGGGTCAGACATGTAGAAGGCCTCCACATATTCGTTCGGTACATAGTGACGGAAAGACCTGAAGAAACACTCCTGGCTGAACCCCATTACAATGGACAGCGCGGTACCGGAGTTATGGAACAACAACGTGCTTACACCGATAAACACAGTCGGCATGTGTACTTCGAAGTGGCTGTACAACAATATCAATGAGACGACCTGGTACTGGAACGAGAACGCCATGTACACAATCCTATCGGTAAACAAACAGAAATTCAAAAGAAATTAAGTACGACGCAGGCATGGAGTAAAGCCAGCGTTCCAAGGAGCGTACATGATGCCTTTGATGCGTTTGTAGAGCGGTGACAGCACGATAGATCCACCAATGCTCTCGTAGTTGCGACCAGCAATTTTAAGACTGATGAGAGCATAGATTACGTACACCAGCGTGATGGCCTGCAGCATGTTGCCGCTTATGAGGATTCGATACGATCTGTGGTTGAAGCCCTTGTTGTAGATGGTGTATCCCGATTCGCAGACCAAAAACAGCACGATGAGAATGTGGATCCACTTGCTGAACAATCTCGCAATTTCGTGTTCTCCTCTGGGACCTCGGTCCATGTTCTTGTGAGCGAGTCTTGAGAGCTCGGCGGTCATCGGCAGCATCCAAAGCGAGCACGCGAGCAGCGCCGTGTCCCCCAGTACAGTGGTGCATGAGAGCAATGGCGACGTCATTTCGGACGACTGCGCCACTCCTAACAGGCCCAAAACGTCGTCATAATTTGCATCGATACCAGAATTCGAGTCGATTAATGGGCCGGAGAGGAACGCATCCAGAAAGAAGACGCCGCGGAAGAACGACCATAGCCACGAGTAGAAGAAGAAATAGAATATGATGAAGTGCACTGCGGATTTGTGCAGCTCTGCGTGGCGGTGGATTCCAGCTGCTATAAAGCAGGATGCCATGCTCGACACAAGCAGCGAGACTGCGTACAGCAGACTCCACACCCGCATCAGTGTGAGGTTGCTACGAGAAATATCGGAATGAGGTGGAACAGAGTTACACTCAAGTAGACGCAAGGGACGTGCCAACCCAACATGTCAAGAGCGTTGTCCTGAAGCAGTGACAGGAGTCGGAGGATTAAACTTGAAATCAGTATTGCCGAAGTTGAAGTGCAGATCATGGAAAACTTAAGGAAGTCGACGTATCTTGAAAAGGTATCACCATTGGAAACATGATGTTGATAAAAACCGGAGTTCACAGCGATGGCTTCTTGGAAAAAATCATGCTCATTTCTGCTGCTTGAGGCACAAGGTACGCAAGGATTCATTAGGGTAAGTTGAAAGCACCGCTTGTTGATATTTTGCATTACACAGCACTAAACGGAACGCGTGTGCGCTGCAATTCTCAGCTCCATTCAGGTGCAGATCTCACCCTGAAGATGTCGTGCAACACAATTGCCGACCGCTATAGTGAAAGTCCAAAGATTTCGCTGTTTATACCGCAAAAAAAAAAAAAAAAAAAACACGATGCAGGAAGGCTTTGGTTCAGTGACCCGAAAGCTTGCAACCACACATTCCATTGCAACGGTGATACTACAGCTTAAGTGTGTTCAAAGATGTATATGCACACCGCAATTTCTTCAGCTTCAACTTCAGATCAGTAGGGTGTGTCCACAGCGGCATATATATGTAGGAGATGTAGAAGAGTATTGATACGTTTAAAAGGTATCAGCAGTTCAATTATCATCTGCCACATATATTCCGCCCCGCATGGTTTGTTGGCGACTTCTGAAGTTGCGGCGCTTCTGATCCGATTCACTAGAGAAACGCCTCGAGGTACACGCCTTCCTGCATCTTTCCAGCGAGTAGATGGATATCCACACGAAAAGTTGGAAGTATTTTCTTTCTTCTGCGAAACTCACGCCCACTGTAGACAACATTTTAGGCCCATGCACAAACGAAGTGCGACTCTGACCCCAAAGAGAGTTCATTGGTGTAAACTCGACACCACGAAGCAAACGCTCTGAAATAATGCTCCATAGTATGGAGTCCGACATCTGTGCTTGCGCATCCAGGCCACTTGGTCATGAATATTGCGACTGCTGCAATCGAACGGTATAGCCCAATGGTAACTCCGCCAAATGAAAGCAGTGAGAACACAAAATCGCGTTGTGTTGATGAGGGTAACTCCAAAACTTGCTACTTGAGCAACACGTTGGTCCATTTTACGCATCATGAAGGTCTCAATGCCAGCTTTTCTTGCGGCGGTGATACCGACTGCTCAAGGCATGTTCCGATTCGACTGTTTCAACAACCTTGTGGTGGACCGAGTCGATCCGATCGTGAACCCCAGCGAGGCTTCTGGTCATTTGCACGCCGTCAGCGGTGGGAACGGCTTTAGCATGAACGCCGACGGTGCAGCTATGAAGGCATCCACATGCACCTCGTGCCCCATTGGGGCCGATTTGAGCGCTTACTGGGTCCCACAACTTTATGTCAAGTTCAAGAATGGCACCGGATATGGTCTGGTGGAAAGCCACCAGATCGTCTACTACGAGTCACGTCCGATGGGAGACGAAAAAGTTATCGCATTTCCTGATGGTCTCAAAATGCTCGCTGGCAATCCAACGCTGCGTGAGAAGGGCGATTCCACCGAGGAGAAGGCCATTACCTGGGTATGCCTCGACTACGACAACCCGCACCCAGAGCAACAAGGCATCCCCAACTTTAAATGCCCCAATGGCCTGCGCGGACAAGTGAACTTCCCCATGTGTTGGAATGGCGTCGATCTCGACTCGCTGGACCACAAGTCTCACGTGGCCTACGCTACAGGGCTCGACGGAGGCTCCTGCCCTGATGGTTGGAAGAAAATGGTCAAAATCTTCTATGAGGCCTTCTACAACGTTGCCCAGTACGACGACGAATGGGACGGTGATCAGCACCCCTTTGTGCTCGCTAACGGCGACCGCACTGGCTTTGGTTTCCACGGTGATTTCCTCAACGGATGGGATATCGACGTCCTTCAGGCTGCTGTGGATCAATGCGCTAGCAAGAATTATTTCAATTCCGGCGAATGTGCCCCTCTTTCCGCCTCGTTCAGCGACAAGGCCCCCGAAGCGCGGTGCACGACCCAGTCGGAGATCGTGGAGGACATTATGACCGTGGCGAAGCTCCCTGGTAATAACCCCGTTGATGATGAAATTGCAGAACCTGCTAGCAACCAAACATCGTCATTCTCAAACTCAACATTCTCCTCGGGATCTGCTCGTTCAGCTGAGATCAACGCGGAATCAGCAAACACAGAGGATTCCGTCGCAGGTGAAGCTGACAATAATGCAAGGGCTACTCCGATCGAGTCACCATCATCACGCAGATCTGTCAATTGTAAAGCCACGATGACTAAGAACCGCAGTGGGTAACGTTGTTCAGTCTGTGGCGTACGTGTTGTAGTGTAGCAGGTCTCTCCGTGCTTTAAGTCAATGTTGTCTTCATCTTGTCCGTCTCACCGAATCAAAAGTGCATCTTAGCTCTCGTCATACGAAATGAATACGAAAACATAAGTTAAAGTGCCAACCAGATCGAAAGCTCACTTCGCGTCAGGCATATCAAGGAGTCCACCCACTCTCCACGCACGGAAAAGCCCTCACCAAGAGATCATTCCAAAATTGGCACGACTACCAAGATACTATGCCTTCCTACCGCCGAATTCAAGTGCACACATACTCGACTGACTTCAACAAGGCAACGGAGATTGTTGTTGAGCCAGAGCTGCCAACGGCTGGCCCAGGTAACATTGTCGTGGAGAACCGCTTCTTGGGGATCAATGCTACAGACGTGAACATCACCAACGGAGGCTACGGACGCACCACACTCCCTGTAAAATGTGGCCTTGAAGCAGGTCCGTAGCAGCGACTGCAGTTCCCTGGTTTGAAAGTGAATGAGTTAATTCTTTGTGAGTTTGTATATGCAGCGGGAGTTGTTGTTGATGTGGGTGAAGGTGTGAGCGATATCAATGTCGGAGACAACGTCGCGTACTCGTGTAAGTTTACTTACGTCCTGTTCATCGACATCTACAAAGTATTGTGCTAACTACTATGGCTTCTACTCCAGCCATCGGAGCCTTCTCCGAGTATCTTGAAGTCCCCGCCTCGAAGATAATCAAATCCCCCGAGCTGTCCCCCGCTCTAGTTCCTCTCACTGTGTGTGCAGTGTCCGCCTCTCTCGCTCTCGAGAAGGCAGGACAAATGAAGTCCAACGAAACGGTCTTCGTGTCTGCCGCTGCTGGAGCCACTGGTCAATTCGCTGTCCAACTTGCCAAGCTTGCCGGCAACCACGTCATTGGCGCCTGTAGTTCGGATGAAAAGGTCGAGTATCTCAAGTCACTCGGGGTTGACCGCCCTATCAACTACAAGAAGGAGGATCTCAACGCCGTGCTCAAGAAGGAATATCCGAGCGGTATTGATCTCGCCTTTGAAGGCGTCGGGGGCGACATGTTCAAGGCTGTCCTGGACAACATCGCCATATTCGGCCGCATTATCGTCTTCGGCAACTGCTCCCACTACCACGGCGACGCTGGCAACGACCCTCAATACGGTTACCAGCAGAACCGCAAGATGCAATTGCGCTCGGCCTCGCTCCGTGGCTTCCAACGACGCCATCACCCGAAGGACGAACCTGAACACCTCAAGCGTCTCGTGAAGTTAGTTCAGGAGGGCAAACTGAAGGCAGGCGTTGACCCCACCGTGTTCAAAGGCTTTGAGGGTATCCCAAAGGCTCTCGAGCGTCTGTATGCTCAGAAGAACATTGGCAAACTCATCGTCCGGCTGTAGATCGGGGTAATCGCAACTTGAAGTGAGCCCATTTTGCTAGTCAATCAAACCCATTCACCTTCTTTCTCAATTTTTTGATTTGTAATCGTCTCACACGTCGCATATTTTCATCATTTCGATAAAGGAGCTCACAAAACTATCGACACCATTCTGCCCAAGTCGAAGATGCCATCGTTCCGCCGCATCCAAGTGCACACGTGGTCCACGAACTTCCGCAAGGCCACGAAGATTGTGGTCGACCAGGAGCTGCCTAAGCCCACGGCTGGCAACGTGGTGGTTAAGAACCACTTCTTGGGAATCAACGCCACGGACATCAACATTACGAACGGAGGCTACGGTCGCACGTCGCTCCCCATTAACTGCGGACTCGAAGGAGGTCGCTTACATTACAAAGTCCACTACTACTGTAAAAACTACAAGATATACTAACGTAATTATTATGATGGATGCAGTGGGCGTCGTGGAATCGGTTGCTGAGGGTGTGACTGACATCAGCGTCGGCGAGACCGTCGCCTACCAACGTAAGCTCAACACCCCTACACTACTCCTCAGCTAACACTCTAACCTTGTAATCTTTCGTTACTTGATCCAGATCTGGGAGCCTTTGCTGAGTACACGGAAGTCCCGACGGCCAAGATCGTCAAAACGCCGGAGTTATCTCCGTCTGTGATCCCGCTCACGGTCTGCGGTGTGTCCGCGTCGCTCGCTCTCGAGAGGGCAGGTGAAATGAAGTCCAATGAAACAGTCTTCGTGTCTGCCGCTGCGGGCGCTACTGGACAGTTCGTTGTGCAGCTGGCTAAGCTGGCTGGTAACCACGTTATTGGTGCGTGCAGCTCGGACGAGAAGGTGGAGTATCTGAAGTCTCTAGGTGTTGACCGCCCCATCAACTACAAGAAGGAGGATCTGAATGAAGTACTCAAGAAAGAGTACCCGGAAGGTATCAACCTTGCGTTCGAGAGTGTGGGTGGAGAGTTGTTTAAGGCAGTACTGGACAACATCGCGATCTTTGGGCGCATTATTGTGTTCGGAAATGTGTCGCACTACCACGGCGACGCTGGCATGGACCCGCAGTACGGATACCAGCAGAACCGTAAGATGCAACTCCGTTCCGCTTCACTGCATGGTTTCTTGCTCTTCCACCATGCTCAGCACGTCCCGGAGCACCTGCAGCATCTGCTGACTTTGATAAAGGAAGGTAAACTGAAAGCTGGTATTGATCCCACCAATTTCCGCGGATTAGAGAGCATTCCGGATGCAATCGACCGCTTGTATGCGCAGAAGAACATCGGCAAGCTTGTTATCAGGTTGTGATCAGTGTCTACTGGAATGACAGTTGAATAATTTCGGTATTGGGGTGAGCGGTTCTCAAGCATGCATCTTGCAAGTTTGGACTACTTGAGTAAGTAAATGTTAGCTTTCTCCTTCAATATCAACGAAATGCGGGAAGGGCTTCGGTTTGGACTCACTGTTCCTTGCTGTTTGGTGTACTGGAGATTGTTAGACAAACTCGATGTTCAATCTTTCCACTTTGCTTCCCACCAACTTTGGTATTTGCAGCACTTTCAACACAGTCAACCGAAGCAGCAATTTCAGAAGTGGTGGTAACCAGAAAAATGGTTCGAAGTTCAAGGTTAACGTAACGTTAGAATTCACTTGCATGCCTATCGCGACAGCTTGAAAACTTCAATTACGCAAATTCGATGGGAGACGACGGCATCTGAGACCAAGCTACACTTGTGTCACACAACTTGTGTGTGGGGTGCCAAGGAACCTTTCATTCAGCAGACCAGAGGGTGAAGAAGAAAGAGAATCCATGAGACGACCTAAACGCTCAACTCCTCACACTACCACGCGCCTGCGATGGATGGAATCTGCGTCCCCAGGTGTTCCAACCCCAAATGACTTGCTGGTGTCCTGGCTGGAGCGCAATGGGGAGGCATTCCGCACGTCAAAGCGCAAGCTCAATTTGTTGGAGCAGCTTGGGGAGGAGATGGCGACCAACGGGATCTACGGCTTGACGATTAGCTCCATCCGATCGCAAATTTGCCGTCTGAAAAAAGGTGTACAAATGAGAGCTGAAGGCGGCAAATGCACCTCTACAGATGCCAATCACTACTACGATCGACTGTTGCTTCTCCTGTTTAGCGAGGAAGAGAGGATTAGCATGCGCGATCGTGCTGCGGAACGATCCACCGCTGTAATTGATGAAGACAAACAAGGGTCAAATACATCGCCACCACCTGGAAACCATAACAGTCGACGAACTCGCTCGCGATCAAGGGCTGAGCTGAAAGACGCGAGTGATGTTGAGGATCAAGGACAGGGAGCGCGACAACGTCCAGGTGCCATTTTGCAGCCTGTTTATTCGGTTCTGGACACGACGGAGATCCGACGCCGCTTTGAACTGCTTTCTGCCCGCCAAGGACTCAAGCAACAAGGAGTTGACCGCGAAACCATTGACTCGCTCCTCCCACTGCACCAAGAGTAGTTTGGCTCGGTTTTGTTGAGACTGTTGATTTCACTGGAAGAAAGTATTATCAATGGCAAGTTTTTCAGCTCATGTTGCTTTGTCTCTCGCCTCAGACATCGTAAAGTTCGTTTATCATGCCTCGCCAGCGTTCACGTTTGACCTGGCTGGAACCTACCTCTTCTGGTGGTTTGAGCCCCATGCAGTTACTTGTTTTGTGGCTGCACCGACATTATAATACATACTCAAACGCAAGCTCCAAAGTTGAAATGCTGACGGAGCTCTGTCAGGGAATGAAAGACGCGGGATATGCTGGCTGTACAATTCACGCGGTTCGATCGAAGATCGATAGTTTGAGGAGGGAGGCACGAAGAGAACGGGTCGGAGATCGTCGTCACTCGCAAGCGTTTGAAAAGTATCAAGAGTCCCTGGTGGCAATTTTTGCCAACGAAGATCAGCATGAAGACATCAGCGCCATAGAGACGTCGGAAGGACGTAATACCCCAAGTAAGGAATCGATAATCCAAAGCGGATCAAGGAACGCCCCGATTATCGTTGCTGGTGAAAACGACGACCATGAAGACAGCGAAGAAATTCACACCGGAACCGTGATGTTGGCATCGAATTACACACTTGAAGTGGCCGAGATACGTCGACGCTTTGAGTTGGTACGTGCACGATATGATCTTCAACAGCGCGGTGTTCCGATGGAGACCATAAACAGGATGCTGCCATTACCCGAAGAATAGCAACCTTGTCAATCGAACAACTCCGTCGACAAACGAGCACAAGGAGTTAAAGTGCACATCCATTGTTTCAATGCAGTCTTCTCACCACCGTCAAATGCCAAGATCGATCTAAGGCGGTTGTTTCGCCAGTTTCATTTTCATTAAGCAGTAAGAGGAAGCGACGCAAGATGGATCAAACTGAGGTTGCGCCGACGCGCCGTGTAGCCCTGGAGTTGGCACCTGAGGACTTACAAGCAGAGGTTTAGCTTTGTAGCATTTCCTTAACTGCTACTGCATGAATCAAACTCTTATGTATTGTTGTTGTCAGTTCGCCAGCTACTCCATCGGTGCTGGAGATTCAAATTCGCGCTTAGCTGCACTTCAAGAGCGGTATGATGAAGAGTACGATGCAGCACTTGCCGAGTACGAAGCTGCCATGCACAAGCTAGAAGTTCAGAGAGCGAAAAAAACTTATCAGGACGCTTTGAGCAGTGTCATCGCGTTGGAGGAAAAAGCTCTTGAGCGTGAGCCCAAATACGCCACAATTGTTCGCGAGATCGAGAACAGCGTAGCTCCGAAGCGTCTAGTAGTGCGTGGCATCTCGCAGTTGGCTTGCTGCGCACTATTGCGAGCAATGCGCAACAACTTGAACGTGATTTCGTTGGATTTGTCCAACAACGCGCTCACTGATGTCGTCGGTTTGGCAATTGGAAATATGTTGACCGTCAACAAGAAGCTTCAGGTGCTGGATCTAGGCTTCAACCACCTCACCAACGTCTCGCTACAGCCTATCGGGGAGGCATTTCGTACCAATACCGTCTTGACGTCGCTGATCCTCAACTCGAACCCTGCATTTCAACTATCGAAGGAGTCGACGAGCACTGGGAACAATAGTTCTAACGCCAAGCCTGGATCTCCCACCAAAGTGCCTCCTCACTTAGCAGCGGCATTTGTTTATGTGGAGTCCTTTACTGCAGCTCTAGCCGTGAACAACTCTCTAACTTCTCTGGATCTGTTCAACACGGGTATTTCCCATGAAGGAGGACATGCACTGGCCCATGCGATGCTAAAGAATTGCAGCTTGATCTCCCTAGAGACAGGAAATGATACGTTGAACCAGTCGGATCTCGCAAGCATTGCATCGTCTTTAAAAAAGAACCAAGCTCGATTTTTCGAGGCGGAAGCCAACAGCGAGCAACTTCTTGCGGACATGAAAGAACAAGCGCAAAAACTTCTGATTGACAAGGTCAAAGAGGCGAAGCGAGTAACCGATGCTGAATGGCATGACGGAAATGCTCGTAAACGAGCTGAGATCCGTCAAGCAGAGGAGTGGGAACGCGCCAAACGCGAGGCTGACGCAGAGGTACAACATTTGCTCAACATGGAAGCTGAAAATAAGAAATACTTGGAGCGCCTTGAGGCAGAGAAGAATCCTGCCAAGGGTAAAGGCAAAAAGGAGTAGAGGAAGGCTAGTGTCCAATATTCCAAGTGTTTATTCGAGTAAGTTTTTCCTTACGCATATGAATCACATTCATCTTTACGGAAACTCGTAATTACGGCGAATACACACTTTTTTTTTGAAGAAGAAGAAGACTTAACAAGTCCACTACAACGAATTCTTACCGCCAGATAATTTATCCTGTTTCGTTGAGTTTCAGAGTAAGTCACGACGTGAAGGTTGCCTTCTGGTAGAGGAAGTCTCTGCATGACTTGTGATCCTTGGCGATGTGCTTGTTGTGTATTCTTCACCATTCCTGCATTCGAAGGTTTGGGATGGGCCGTCACCACGTTCACATGTCTCCTCCACTTCCTGGGTGTGTAAGTTTCAGAAACCGTAGGAGCATTGGCGACCTGGATAGTAGCGTCGCCTCCAGACGTCTCTGATGTAGTGACACCGTTTTCAGTTGCTAGATGGGCCAGTTAAATCATTCTCTTCGTACATTGTGGAAGTAATTTCCTTGCTTCTTAGCTGTTCTCGAGATTATAAACTTTACACTGCAATGCGCAAAACATGGTCTGGTGTCTGTGAGAATCTCAGCAAGCAGCCGCTTCTCCTTGTTTCTCGGACGCGTATACGGGATGTTGTAAACCACGTGATAAAGATCTGGGCTGAACCTAGACCACCGTCTCCCGAAGCCTTTTGCACGTATAACCGATGAGGAGCTATCGATCCGGACGTCTGGAAGAAAGGATTGTATTTCACGGACAACAGCTAGATGGCCTCAGCGTAGATCGGCAGGAAGCAACACTTCCTTCTCACCGAGCAAATTTTGGCGTAAACCACCCTCACTTGGCTGCACTCCAGTTCATAACGGGCGTATCCAATAAACTCCATCAAACACATTCTCGGACAGTCACAGACGGCTGAAGGTGAACATTGTTTTTGATGACAAAGTAGAGCAATTGCTTGGACATAAGAGGCAATAGAAGGACAGAATGCAATTGACGAGGAAAAATGGCATCGAAAAAAAATGCCGAAGGAGAAAATTGAAATGTGACAAGGATAAATGAAAAAAAAAAAAAAACCAACACGCGATATCTTACCAAATCATATTTTTAGATTCTTCTAAATTACAAATTTAGGAATCAGAATTCGATGGCGTTATATTCCGTCCCTTGTCTAGTCGCACCAGATTCCATTATTATCCCAATCAAGCCCCTCCGCGAATGTCTGCGCTGGACGTCAATTGGTTGCGTCCCGTGACGCCGGGCGGGCAGAAGCCGCTGCAGATACTCGTGGACTGGTTCGCGCTCAACGGCGTCGTGTACCACGCGTCCAGTCACCAGCGAGAGGTCCTCGTGCCTCTGTGTCGGGAGCTCAACGCGCTTGGAGTCCAGTGCGAGGTGGACCAGATTCTAGACTACGTGAGCTACCTACAGGAGGTAGTGCACGACGCTGCTACTCTACACCACACACTACCAGAGGACCTAACACCTTACCGAGAGCGTCTCCAGACGCTGCTGTTCAAGGATGGACACTCTGAAGCTTCCGTCGCTCTTCAGAACCAACAGAAGCGCCCTAATAGCCGTCTATCGTGGCTCGAACCTTCGCCTTACGGTGGTCTAAGTGGCATGGAAGTGCTGGTAGAATGGCTCAAAAACAACTACTCTACATATGCCCATGCTACCAGGAAGGGGGAGAAAGGGAAGATGCTGGAAGATCTGGTAAAGCAGATGAGGGACGCCGGCATCCAGGACTGTGCCGTCAACACTGTGCGCGCGAAGATTGACGTGCTACATCGAGAAGTGAGAGGAGAGAAGTCGCGGTCAGCCGCTTGGGAACAATTTGGCTCGGTGCTCGAGGAAATTTTCACAGTGGGGGACGCTGGTCACGAGCGTGAGGACGGCGCTGAGAATTCTGACGAGCAGGAGTTTGGCGACCAAGACCATCATAGCAGTGATGGTCCTGCTTTTCAGACCAATAGCTTCCTTGATGCGAGGAGTATAGGAGTCGATACTTCAGTGGCTGTGAAACCCCCAGTGAAGCACACACGGAATAGTCCTGCCAGTCGTCTATCCTGGATGAAACAGGTGTTGCCTGGTTCTCCTACTGCAATGGAATTGCTGGTGGAGTGGATGGAGAACAACTACGCTGCATACACGCAGTCGAAGAAGAAAGGGGAGAAAGGGAGGATGCTTATCAGACTCTTACACAAAATTGAAGAAGCTGGACATCGAGGCTGCACCATTCACGCCATTCGCGTGAAAATTGACAGCCTTCAACGGCAAGCGGGTGGCAAGGCACGCCCTTCCTCAGCATTTGACCAATATGGTGCATCTCTCAAGAAAGTATTTGCAGAGAAAGATAGTCTGGATACTACCGAACGAGGAATTTCGCCACGGTCTGTCCCTGTAGACCACGACGGCGAGGATTCGCACATTAGTGAGGAAGAAGCCGAGAGCGATGACATCTCTGATGATATAATTCCAGAAAGCGGTAAAAGTGCCGAGTATCAAGTTGACATGGCTGCCACGGAAACGCCCAAACAAGTTGACATTGATGCGAGTCGTGACGGGGGAGATGTCAACATGCTTGAAGTTAGCAATACGTCTCCAAATCGAGCGCCTGCTGGATCCGACAGCGAAACTGAGGACGAGCAGGACAAAAATCCTGCCAAGGTGAATTCCATTGTCCCTCAGGTGTGTCATCAGGCAACGTCACCGATACAGTCACCGTCCACGAGTGAGATCGTGCGAATTGCAACATTGCTTCGGGAGCGGCATGACCTTCTTCAGCGAGGTGTGCCTCAGGAGCAGGTCGACAAGTTCCTCCCACTACCCGACGCTTAAGTGCATGGACGGTCAAGTCAGAGTCAGAGTGAAGCTTTTAAATTGGAGTTGGTATCCTAGTTTTTTTAGTTGGAAATAGTTGCAAAGTAATTATTTCATTTTCGCATGTTCAATTCTCAGCAGTCAACCTGTTGCCAACAGAAACCATGATCGGCGCGTACCGAAAAGATAATCAGGGGCACGACAAGAGCGAAGAAAAATTGCTGGCGAGCTAGTATCGAGCTCAGTTCATGTTCATGAGAACCTAGGATCATTGTGCCATAGTCTGTATAGTCAGGTAGTTTTATCAGGTAGTTTTAAATTAAATTTAGAATTGAAGTTGAAGTTACTGTTTCTTTTTTGTTAATGCCCTCCCCGTCCCATAGGTCATTCCCAACCTTCCTTCATCTACGATGACGGATCCCCCCGTTACAGCCAGCCACTTTAACTGGGGCGATCCAGTTGCTCCAGATGGCTCCCTCCCTCTTGACTATTTAATGGGATGGCTCAAGACCAACCTCACCAAGTATCGGCAAGCTACTGACAAGCAGGAGGCACTGAGCCCGCTGTGTCGTGAGCTAAACGAGCACGGCGTCAAATGCTCTCTGGCGAATAGCGTAGTGGAACTCGAGTGTTTGACTCATACTGCGTGGCGCACCCGCACGTGGATCACACATGCCATGTACGAGAGTGATCTGTTTGAAAGCTACTTTGACGGAGAAGAGCCTGAACTCGTGCGAAGTCATCGAGAATTTCACATGCGTGGGTACATTGCAACAATGTATTAGTTGAGAAGAAAAAGAAGAAGGCAACGAATCGTACTCGTTCCCACTACTTGCGATGGCTCGATGGCGATGGGTCACCTGATGGCTTGAGTCCAATGGCAATGTTGGTGTCCTGGTTCCCGGGCAATTTCCACAAGTACGTCAAATCCGATAAAGACCGCCGATGTGAGCTACTGAAGGAGCTTTGTGATGATATCAAAAGTGCTGGCCACTTTGAATGCTCAGAGCGCGGAATTGCTGCGAAGATTAACCAGATTTGTAAAGAAGTGGAGCTCGAGTTTCAAGGAAATCACGATCAATCCGAGTGTTTCAAGAGTTATCGTATCTTCATGAATTTCTTTGGGTATGTCGAAGTTACCAAGAATACAGAAATGCAAGGCAAAACAAAGTGGCGTCGTCGTCAGGAAAGCCACCGACGAAACCACAGTCGGTCTTTGGTTCGGTATCCTCTGCATGAGAATGTGGCACGAAGTTCCAGTGACAGTGACGCTGAAACCAGCAATCAAAGCAGCCAGATGGAAGAAAACAGTGAGGACGGTGATGATTAATCCTGTCTTAAAGCTGAAAAGGCCTGTGGCTCGATTGTTAACGGGAACCAGACAGCGCAGACCTCGAAAACACCATCACGTTGTGGAATTTACACGTCAAGAAGCAGTAGTCACCGCAAGAGCCTGCCGAGTCTGAGTGATCTGGAAATTCGCACTCAAGTGGCTCTTTATCGGAAGAAACTGAAAGATGCTAGTGTCCTTGATACTGAGATTGACCTTGTCCTCCCCAAGCCAGCCCAAAAGCCAAATATCAAGTATCAGCTCAGGCTTGAGCAGATTGGCGTACGTGAGTTCCAGATTCCGAAGTGCAGAGCCTACTTCCGCTGCCCGGAAGATTTCGAGGTGACCACCATGACAACACACAAACCACCGATTACCCGTATAAACCGAAGCAGATCGAAGTGCTGATTCAGTTGGAAGCAATCGCCAGCACTAGCGGAAGGAAGGTGTCTCTGAGGCTGAAATTGATGCGTGCCTCCCGCTGCCCACAGATAATTCCTTAGCGTGATGTCAACAATGACTCACATGTAAGGAAGCTTGTATGCATATTATTGCTTACCCACGAACTATTGTTGTTTTTTAATCGAAGATAGTTGAGTGCATTTGCGATATCCTAATAATGAGTGCGCTTTTTTTCTCTATGCTATTTGACTACTAGTGTTTTCGTAGATAACTGAGTGTTGTGGCAGTTGGCAACGCGACAGTTAGCCTTGGAGTTTTGTTCCAACAACCCATTCTCCATTTTTCTGCCAACTCCATACACCTATTTCCAAGCATCAAGATGCCCCCCTCGTCGTCTCAGTACACAATGCGTTTTCGATGGAATGCGAAATTGAAGTCAAGCAGCAGGACGCCACTGAAACTACTCATTCGCTGGTTCTCTTTGAACCACGCCGAGTATTTTAGCTGCCGAAACTACGCCGAGGTATTAGAAAGATTTCGGCAAGAGCTACTGCATCGTGGTGAGAAAGGGTGTACTATCGGAGATATTCACTCACAGATCGTACGACTGATCAGGTACGTGTGAAGCATGTTTTGTAGATTGCCTCTTGTGTGCTTATGTCTATTTGCACGACTCCGAAAGAGGTGACCGCGTTTTGCGTTGGCTCCAACCCGCTTCAAGTGGGTTAAGCAAAATGGAAGTTCTAATCGGTTGGCTCGAAGAGAACTACTCTTCGTATCTTCGCTCCAGCCTGAAAAGCGTGCAGATGAATGAGCTTCGTGAAAAGATAGCAGCCGCTGGGTTTCCTCGCTGTACTGCACGCGAGTTGCGTGAGCAGATCTCAAGCTTGGCGATCACACCGTGGTCACCATTTCTCAAACAGTACGTGCATCGCCTCGACGCTATTTTCCATGGAGTCCGCGTCAAGCTCGAGCGCGATGCCACTGCAAACGAACCGAGAGCTGCGAGCAGCACTCGTCGCGGCATCCGCAGTACCAGAGAAAACCGCAACACGCAACGAAGTCACAGGGCTGCTCGTAGAAGTGCTACGGGTGAAAGTCGTCCTATCAAGACAGAGCCATGCTTCCCAGATGGATCCTCCAATGCTCCACTTGTCGTTTATGGCGATGACAACGACGAGAATTCACGAGCTGCTGCAAACGAACCAACGCTCGAAGAGATCCACCGGCGTGAGGCGCTAGTGGATGTACGACTCAAGTACAAAACGACGTTGTCTGAAGACGAAATTGAAAAGCTCTTCCCCTTGCCCAAGATCTAGGCGTTTGTGGGAAACACGAACACGCTGATCGCCGATGTCGTTTATTTTTACTAAGTACTGTAGTAGTTTTTGATTCTTATCTGCGTGGTGTTCAATTGACTATAGCGCTTTTTCATAGCGCAATGGTGTTATGCTGAAAGTGTAACAATGAATGCCAGGGTCTTAGGCATAGCACAAGGTGAAAATGCAGTGTACTGAAACACTTCACCATATAAACGCGCCCTTGTTTTGAATTCGCGTGGACTTCAAGAGGATGGAAGAGCTCCAGCTAGATGCTGATTCTCCAGCATGCTGCCAAACGACCACTTAGATGTAGTTTCTAGATGTAACGAAGACGTCCGGAGTCTACACCTCCGCCGACTCCTTCCTCTCGAGTTCGCCCAAGAGATTCTTCTTCGACACGTTGTAGGCCGACATGGTCTCATCGGTGTCAGGTAACTCTTTTTCAATGTTCAGGAACGACGGCATCACGATATCCTGGTCATTTTCACACGACGCCTGCACGTGCAGCACAGCGAGTCCCGCAAGGTCCGCTGGTTCCTTGTAGACGTGGATCTGGAACGACTGGTTCTTATAAAGGAAACACATACGCTGCTGCTTGATCACATTGCGCGTCGGGTCACAGCGATGTCTTACAGCGTATGAATACTCGCGCGCACTGAGAACGCGCTTCAAGTGCACTCTGTTCGACGATAATAAAAAGGAAACAAAACGAAGCATGTCAGGCTTTTAATCATCAAGCACAAAGGTAGTAGCGGTTGACGTACGCATCACCAGTGTCCAAGTAACGAACGGTGGTCATGCCATAGGCAGGGATGCCGTACTGCGAACGGCAACGTACAAATGAGTAGTCCTTGCTCGTCTCTGCAATAGCAAGATAAAAATTAGTACAAGTCATCTTAGGTGGAAGTTCGGTAACGTACTAGCAGCTTCGGGTTTGAGGTACACCTTCTCCACCTCAAAATCCTCGTGATGGAATGGGATTTCGATCGGTGTCTTGGCCAGCAGATATTTGCGGGAAGCCCTGACAGTCGTGGGGATTCCACACAGTCCCGCCGCCGTGTCCACCAGGCGCTGCATCTTGCCTTCGAATGTGGTTGAATTGTCTAACAGAAGCAACACATTAAATGTTAGACATTTGAATTTTAGTTGCAACAGGGTATGATCGTACCGAACACGTAGAGCTTCGGGTGGCCGATCCAGGCATGACAAGTGCGTTTGTCAATAGCCCGTGCCTGCTCAATGGATTCAATGCGTATACCATTATTCTCCAGCGAGTAAAACTTCTCAGCACCGTCAGCTGCTGTCACTAAATGGAAAATGGCAATGTAGCGCCTGCAAACAGGGTAAGATTCTAGAACCTGCACGGCGTATATAACTTGCAACCACTTTTACCACGTACGTGTCTCGAAGCGTGACGGTGTCCAGGTCGTGCTGGAGTTTCAGCTCTTCCCACTGCTCGGGTGTCATATAGGCTGAGCCGTCCATGACGCCACGGTCGCACAGAATCACGCAGGGCTTGCCACTGTCCTGCGCCAGTGAATAGAACGAGTCCTCGAGCGAAATCTGGAGATTTAGAATTTGCCACTGGAAGTTGAGAATGTCCTTCTCCTGGAGGTCACTGGTAGAAGTGGCAAAAAGTGAAAAGCAAAAGATAAGCTTAAAGCGACAAGCTGTTCGCCATTTCAGCATTGTCGCCACTCACAGAAAGAAGGCGCCACCGGTTTGCAAAAGCGTCGAGGCCTCTGGCACGACATAAACTCGGAAGCCACGATCCCGGAAGAAGGTCGAGAGGCGGTCGAGCGACGTGGTCTTGCCGGCGCACGGGCCGCCAGTGAGAACGAACTTGTAAATGGGTGCGATGTCCTTCTGGCCCGACTGAAGAGGGATCAGCAGCGGTGGCGGAGACTCGCCCACCGACATGGCACGGTCCTGCGACCACATCTTTCCCTTGCCCATGCTCATCGAAGAAGCGAACAACGCGGAGTGCGCGGTGGTGCAGTTGTTGCAAAAGCGCAAAAGGCCTCAGACGGGTAGCCATCATTAGCTGTGCGACAATTCGTCTGGTTAGTTTATCACAGGCTATCAATTTATAGAAGGCCAAATTGAATTTGAATGAATCATTTTGTATTCCTTATCATAGGTCATGTGATATTAGGAAAAATAGTGTTTCAATTTCGTATATGCTGTACTTTCATCTGACCAGCGCCATCCGTTTTTGGGGTAAAGCAGGTCGCATGAATTTGCATTCACTGGAGGTTCAAGCTGGCAATGTTTCGGGCGGCAACAGAATGTGCTACAACTTGCTTGTTGTCAACAATAAAGCTTTCCTGCTACCGGAATAAACACGTTTTGCGTGTTGGCGTGAGCTGAACATTCCGCACTTGAGGCTCGCGTGACGACGAACTTGTGGACCGGAGATGCTGAAGCGCTCCTGGGATTGACCGACCCAGTGTAATCAACGCTTGCGAGAATGCCGGCAATTTGCCGCTCGACCTTACCATGCAAATAACGTTTTTACAAGTGATCACATGTACTTCGAAGTACTTTACAAGTTACCAACGACACAGCATAAATTCAGATATAAAGTTGGGGAAATTGACGTTGACTAGCGAAACACCGCTCATTCGAACGACACCGTTCTGATGTGCCGTTCACGGCATTGGGTGCACGAAGCCGTCGTACGCACACAGCACAGTGGTAGGGTCATTGCTCGATTGCTCATTGCTGTCCGAAACCGGCGGTGGAAGTGATGGATACCGCTGGCTGAAATGCGTCAATATAACTTGCCGTGCTCGCATGCGTCGAGCAATGTCCAGAGCCTGACCAACAGTGCTGTGCTTCTTCATCTTTGCGTCCTCCTCCATCGAATCATCGAATGTCGCTTCATGAACCAGCAACTCAGCGTCCATACCTAAAACAAAAAGCAAAAATTAGCAAGATTGACACACTCATTTGGACTGCAAGGACTTACCTGCAAGGACAAGTTCATTGCACGGCTTGGTATCTCCGGAATACACGAGTTTCTTCCCACCCTGCAGAGTCAGCACGAGGCCATAAGAGTCGTAGCAGTGAAAAACCCTTACACTCGTTATACTGGTCACAGCGTAGCCGATCTCCGACAAGAGCTGGCAGCGAAGTGGATGTCGGGGATTGTTGAAATCTGCACACGTCGCCGATCTAATTAGCTGTTTATCAGAATCATTGCGAAGAAACTGCGGCAGCCAACTCTCGACGTAAGACAGCACTGACTGGGGCGCCACTACCGCCAGAGGTTGTAAGCTTCTGGCATCCTTCTGATGCGAGTGGAAATGCCAATACTCGTAAAGTACTCGAACTAAGCCGCAATGGTGGTCCGCATGGTTGTGGCTGATCCAAATGCACTTCAGACCGCCAATACGTTCCCAAACATCACCACCAAATTGACGCCACAACTGTCCAAATGTTCCTTCCCCACAGTCTACCAGCATACTATCAACGCCAGCATTGGATCCTAACAACTCCAAGAAAATCCCGCTGCTTGCACGGAGCTTGGAAGGTGCAGCGCTTCCAGTACCCAGCACAATTAAATTTCTCGACGAGGCTACATCCACTTGGCCGCTTGTTGGTTGATCCAAAGAAAATGATAAACTATTCGACTGTATATCCACTGCGTTGTCGTCGCCATCAGCCTCATCATCTTCGTCTTTATCAGCTTTCTGGTGCCATCCGGTGCGATCGTAGTTAAATCCCAACTGCTTTTCGTTTGGATGCAGAAGACAAAACTCTAACTTGCTCTGAGCGACATGAGCTTCGGATTCGCACCCCTCGATGTGTTTCACAATTTGCCGCCGGCATGGGGACTCAGCAGACCACGACGAGTCCTTCAAAAACTTCACCAGGTCTTTTACGGATTTTGGTGTCATATTCTTCGGCTTGACCTCTGCGTTACCGCTAGTAGAACGAGCCTGAAGTTCCCTTTGTACAGCAACCTTGGCGGAAGAAACAAAGGTGTAACTAAACGCTCCCTGCGCAGCTGCTTGGAGTGCAGTGCTGTCGAAGACTAACTGCTCAGGTCGCGAAGTCGACTCCGAGAGACTTGCCATCCATTGCTTGTATCTAGCAGAATATCATAACAGTAAATCGTGAGCACAGCCACGTACGTTTCTCTCAGTTAACATTCCATCTTTACCGGGGTTGAGCTTGTACATGCTCTGGACTCAAATGCACCACGAGCGAAGGCAGATGAACGTCACAATAGCTGCCAGCCGAGGCCTTGATTATGACTGAAAACTTGCGTTCCAAGTCGGAAAGATGATCCGAGGTGCGGCAGTCAATGATCCACACCACTGGATACGGAGTATACTGAAATCTATTTGGTAGCGAAGAACAAAAACAACAAATAAGTGGAGATTATTACCATCACCGCTCAGATCGATGACTCACTGTACAACGTAGCAAAATGAGCTTGATACGCCATCTGAAGGCCCTGAGTATCTCTCGCCAGAGTTGTCGTAGCTAGTGTAAATCTTGGGAATCAGATCGTCCTTCAGTGTTACGTGATCATCTTCGCTTGTGTGTTGTAGCTTTCTCTTCTTTATTGGAGTACCTCCATCGCTTTCTGATTGGTTGCTGCTTGTTGTTGGCACAGTCTCGAATTCTTTACCATATTTTTTCAGGAGCATTTGCTTGAGAGTATCTTCTCGTCCAGAAAACTGACGCATCACTCTGTCTATATGAGCAAGTTTTTCTGGCTGGAATTCAGCGTAAAACTTTTCCATCCACCTCCGATCGATCTGTTTTTCTGCGTAGTTAAACTCAACGTCGTCATCCTCATTATCGCTATCTGATGAAAAATCAGAACTTGAGACTTCAACTTCAGCATCAAGTGATGAGCTTTTCATTTCGCCGTACTTCGCACACAGTTGGGTTTTCAAGTCATCGTATCGTCCCCGGTATCGGTTCAGTACAACGTCTACGTAGGGGAGTTTTGCTGGTACCTTCTCAGTATAATATCGTAAAAGCCATTCGCGACATTGCTCGTGCTCGTCGCTTTCGTTTTCCCATCTTCGACCAGGTTGGTTGCCAGAGACCCCCTTTACATCAATAAATGCGGCACTGTTGATTTCCTCAGCAGAAATATCCTGTGGATGTCTTTTGGGGGCATTCTTCTCGCAGAGTTTGCAACTTTGACACTCGGTAGCATGGTCGGATGATGCCCCAACTCCAGCACCAAGCGCAATCGGAATTATCAGCGCATGTTGATCTGTCCGCTCGACTCCTTCACTCCAGGTCTCGTACTCAATCGACTCATCAACGCTTTGCCCTGCATCTTGATCCTTTCCACTAGGCATAATTTCCACGCATTGGATTTGAGGATATCTCCTCCGAACAAAACTCCGAATAGCCCCAAGAAACCCACAAAGCCCGACAGGTCCGTGAAGTTTGAGCGTCGCTGTGCCACATGACCCCAGTGCGAAAATCATACCAGGGACACCACTTACTGACTGTAAACAAATTGTCATCTCTCTAGTAAAGCAATTTAAGCAACATTTCATTGCAAACCCACCTTGGCATCGAAACGCGTGAAGTACATGGCATCCAGCGAGCTGAGTTTGAGGCCATTTTCTCCTGCCAGTCGCTGTGTTCCTTCTCCACAGTTGAATAAGTACCTCTTCAGCACTTTCACGTCATCACTGTACAATCCATGACGCTGCACGGAGAATAGCAGCGATGGCTCCGTGCCGTCGAACCCAGTGCCCACGACTCCAGCAGTCACCTACCCGTCCAATACTCAATCAGTTACAGCCATAAACAAAATCACTGGAAGCGCAAGACAAATAAGTTGATGTGACTCCCAACTGTTTGCCAGTGCAACGCAATGCGTCCCCACCTACCGAGATCCGAGCACTCGACGGCGCCATTGATCGAAGAATAAAAAAGTGGTGGCAAGCTGTCGTACCTAAGTGAGCAATTCGTACATAAGTGCTACAACATGGCTACATTTCTATTTTTATGTAAAATGGCTACGCTTTCTACTTTTTCCAGCTAATTTCTACAAGTTGTTCTTAGTTTTCGACATACTGTCATGGGTCTTCAGGAAGAGCAAACGACCTCGCACGCCTTTGTATTAGCGCTGCTAAATAATCTAGAGGCTCACGCTTCGACACCAAAGGAATTGGAGATCGTCGTGGAGCAGATTTTGCCTGTCCTGGTACCAGGTAAAAGAACCAAGAGGCCATCGGTGTAGCGCTCTGTATTGACGAGTGTCTTCGTACTTTTTATTATTTGAAAAAATCTTGTCGTTCTCTGTAGCCATTGTGCACTTGCTCAAGGCTGTAGAGGCCAGTGAGGAGCGGGACGAAGACAGCGAAGATGTGGGTCCTCCGATTCGACCTTTAGACCACCTCGCTCGGTTCATGCTGCGCCGGAATCCTCGGCACAACGACTCTGTAAGTCATGGCTTTCTGTTAGCCCTGCACTACAGCTGCAGTCTCATTTATTTTTTCCTGTCCAGACGGCTGAAATGATAGAACTTCAGGCGCTGGCGCGAAGAGTTTTACGGAAGTAACCCCGGCAGTTTTACAACACACTTGATAGGTTCTCTCGATATGCGTTGAATTTAAGCATCATGCAAGAATACGTACTTCGAGTATTATTCTCTTTGCACTGGTATCGCTGCTGCACAGTCGACGTCTTACGATCACCAAATCTGCGGTGCCTAGGGCGACGGCGACCGAGACATCATTCCAGGAGAAGACTGGGGCGAAGCTGATGGCATCGACGAGCCCGAGTTTGCAGACGCGTCGTCTTCGCTGACCGATGCCGACGAGTTTTCAACCGATTGTTGCTTCGAATCCGTGCCATTGGGGTGTTGGCTGGCTGGTGGAGCACCTGACGGCGCTGGGGTCGGCAAGAACGCAGGATCCAGCGCATCCAAACTAAAGCTATCGTCCGCGTCGAGCATCGGGAGGTCGTCGAGAACCATCTCTAGCTGCTCGTCCGACGGCACTTCAGCCATCATTTGGTTGGATACAGGTGGCATTATCGGCATCATTGGGAGCGTCGGAGTAGATGATGATGCTTCCGCGGGGGTTATAGGCGCAGCTTCAGCCTTCATTGCGGTTTGTGGGGGCAGCGCTCCTTGCTGCTCAACGGACAGGGTCGCACCATATTCCTGTTTGGTCGGTCTTTCAGTGGTGGTCGGCACACTAGAAGCAGTTGGAGCTAGTCCAAGAGCAGCAGTAGCGTCCGCTGGCATAGCATCAGGGGAGGGCATCGGCACAGGCGTTCGCGCAGGTGTGGACGATGCCGTTGCAGTCCTCGCGGGAGATGATTGTCGTGACGAGTGCTTCACAGTAACAGATACACACAATTAATTAGGTCAAATGATGTGGCTTGAGGATAGCTGGATGGGTCGACGTACGACGCGAACCGGGTACTCAGACAACAGCTCCAACGGTGCAGCCATATGTTGGCGCACACTGCGCGTCATGCGCCCCACTTCACCTGCGCCGCGCTTGCGTCCTGTCGTGGGAGTCAAACAAAATCCAAACAGTGAGTACTATCATTCAGCATCGTAGTTTTACATGGTCCTCACCCTTCGACTTCTTGAACGCTCCTTTCTGCAGTGCTTCCGTGGGGTTCTACACACATACAACATCGACATCAACACTGCATTCGTCTATAATAGTAGTCATGCTCAAAATCAGCGCCGAACCTCTTGGTCTGAACAGCACAACAAATTACAGTGTTAGACATCGCCCACGAATCGTCGTATTGCTGCCGTCTTACCAGGGATCCACTTGGGAATGGTCAAGTGACCAACTGTCTTAAGCTGCTTGGACCATTTGCGCGTGCGGATCTCCGCGATGGGGGCGCCGGGCAGCGCTCCGTAAGCCGCCGCAGACGACCTCCGAGCTCCTCGTGCTGACATGCTTTGCCCTACTGAGTGGTGCTCGTGGTGGCATTAAGTACGAAACTGGGAATCGTACCTTAAAGGATATATACTGTACAGTGCTTCGACATGAATGCGCCCTTTCCCAGATAAGCGTTGTTGAAGTTGCCTCTCCAATGGAGAGACTCCATTTATGGAGCCTGGTCTGCCCAACTTGGTGGCCATGGCACGACTGCCCTTTAGCTTTGCAGTTACGAAGCGACTAGAGAGCTAAATGAATGTGTAAATAACTTTCGCATTGCGTTTTGTGAAACAAAGTATCCGTTGTGAGAATAGTCGTCGAGAAAAAATTTGTATTTATCGAACGAAAAGGTCACAGACAAACAAGACATCAGTGACGATACCTGCGACGCCAAGTCTACAGTAAGGCCGAATAGGAGGTGGTTCCTCTGCACGAATAGATGGCGACGTAGGCACGTGGCACAGCGCCGGATCTCCTATCCGATCAAATAATAGTATCCGTAGCCTGATGTGATGGAAGGAGTTCGAAATGCAGACATAGGCCGACTGAAAAAATAAGGAGAGGTAAGATACATTGCATTTTTGTATTCTCTCGTCTGTCGAGGGCGACTGCTTCTTGTGTTGCTGTCGCCGCCCTCTTCGTTCGTCTTGGTTGCTCTTAAATATAGCGGCTATCTAATTTTCACCTCGTACTTTATCACGATACTGCACGGCACCTTGGCTTATATACTTGCTACTGATACGCGGGGGCTCACTTGGCGCCCCACTTGGTCCATCCATTCCCACTCATATCCACCCATGAGAGAACGGCACGACACAATGTACTCCACTTTATCATCCGAGGATCACGCGCTGGTGCTCTGCCAGCAGGTCCGCAAGACGGAAAAGCTGGTGCAGTCGCGGTCGAACGTCCTCGACGTCCTGCAGACTGGCCAGCACTTTGGTCAATGACTCGAGCGTCCGGTCGTTGGCGTCGTCATAGAAGCTCGGCACGGGGATACCGTTGCTGGGTTGCATGAGGAACGACACGGGATTGTTATCTACCAGGATGACGCGCGACAGATCGCCGCCACGGACGACGCTCAGGTCCTTGAGGAACATGCCTTTGCGTTGTTGACACGACTCCCGGAAGAAGCGACCGGCGAAAAGGTTTCCCTTGGGGTCGAGAGCGTCTAGGATGGGCTTGCCATAGGCCTCTAAGCCGGCAGTGAATACATACACGTCATAGTGCTTGGCGGCTTCCTCGAGGAAACGGTCAAGGCCTGGTCGCTTGTTGACTACTGCACGCTCGCCATCCTCCATTACGATTTCGAACGAGTCGCTGTACTCCTCTAGTTGTTCGGGGCGGTATTCGCTCTGGCGGTACTCGACTTCGTTTAGGAACTTGCTGTGCACTAGGCACTCGTCCATGTCAAGCACTAACGCGATGCGCTCCGACGGCGAGCGTACGTGGGCGCCGTTGCGCTTCTTGGCGGCTGAAACCTCGTCGGCGAGCCGAGAGCGTGACACGCGAGGCTCTACCGGATACTGCACGACAGTTGCGCTCATGATACGAATATCCGCAAGTACTGCAAGCGGAGGCTGGAGTGGTTGCTACTTGGTGATGCCGCCGCTGGTTGAAGCAGGTGGCCGATACACAGGAAAAGTGGAAGTGAACGCTTGGGATGAACTCGGGAGCGTCAGGCGGGGATTCTCGTAATTTCTTCTCGTCACAGCTGGAAAGCGCTACAGACAGAAACAGGCGGGCTGTAGTGCTGAAACGGACAGGCGAAAAAGGGCGTTTATTCGGGTCGTCGGGCTCGGCGGCTCGAGTGCAAATTCAACAATGAAGCGAGTGCAGATTTGGATGAAGGCTGCGAAGAGGGTTAGAAACAATGGAACAAGTGATCGCCTTTAACACCTACGAAAGCGTCGAAGCGCTCATAAGAAATGCCCACAAATGGTAGGGTTTTAGCATTTGGGTTGTCAAACTGTCATCGGTTGAGGTTCGTGTTCACTTGCGCCCAGTATGTCGTCTTAATTCGGCCCATAAAAACCAAGGATGCGTTGCTAAGCCCAACTGCAACGGCGAGTCCCATCTGCGAAGGCAGTGGGTCGGCGCTGCATCACCTGGGCTGAAAGGCGTTGGGAATCTCCGCCTCCTCTACGCAGTGTTTTTCGACAGACGCGAAGGGCACCGCAATAAATGACTTCCGGCCCGCCAAAACGCTGGCTGGCCATTTAAAAACTGGTAGGTATAGCTCACGCAAGTCATTCGCCGAAGACACGCAACAAGCCATGGTTGGACTCGTACCTACCCGATGCCACACTGAAATCGAATTGATATGAAGAGTTTGTTTCGAAGCAGCGAAGTATCGCTCTGACGCACGCGGTTAGGGGAGAAAAACGTAACGGTCGGTGAGCTCCATAGTGGGGCCAAGATAAACACGCACAGTGCCCGCTGTGCTGAGCACACGCGTGTTTAAATTTGGCGAGCGTTGATTGGCCAGCGCTCGTAACGGTTGCAGTTATGGTGAACCCGTTCTGACTCCCGATCATCAACAGCCCGGCCAATCAGAGCGCGCGCCTAATAAAATGCACTGAACGGTAGCCGTATGGTGGATTTTACACGTTGAAGTGTGAGCTGACCGCGGCGCTTCAGGCTTTTTCAGAGACCGGCCTGTCCCCTCGACGCCAGGCCAATGGTCTCCGCTATGGCGTTTGCAATTGAGCATGCCCCGCTTGCTGTGAGCACGTTCCTAGTAGCCTTCGGCTGAAATGGCCCTTTCGCCCGCTGCCTGCGGTGCCCCGCCGAGACGCATAGAAGTTGGACGCCCGCCTCGACAACACTGCCTTTGTTGGGATGGTGGGGCTCTTTTTAGTACGACGGGTGATGTACGTCGATCCGAACGCGTTAAACATTACTTTGCGCTTTTTCGAATAATAAAGCGGAAAAACACGTGATGAGACTCGCTTTTGCTGCCTTCACTGAAGGTTCTTCAGTGGCTGCCTTCAGCTGGGAAGCTTTCCCCACAAGTGCCTCGCTCCGTCGCCACCAAGTTATCCAAGTTGATCCTATCCACCGCGACCAGTGAAGCCGTCCCGCATGCCGAGTACTGTGTAAGCGCAAAGGCGAGCTCGGTGGCACGGCTACTTCAAGGTCTCCAAAAATTATCAGATCCCCGTGCTCGTGCTCAAGGAGCTCACCATCGCAGTGGCAGTGAATGCAATGCAGCATAGAAAAATGGACCCAAGCCAGCCGTACTGTGGCTGTCGAACTCTTAGACACGAGCTCCAAGCTGGCACGCACATGCTCGCAATGCTGGAGCGACCGAGTGTCGTTCCAAGTGCTCATCGCTCGCTACCTTGGATTTGCAGCTGCAGCCATTGTTCCCAGCTGCTGGAGGCGATGGCGACAGCGTGATGATGCTGTGTTTGCAGCTCGATCATGTCCTCGAATGTCATCATTTTGCTGGCACAGTAGCGCTCTTTACAATGCAGGAGCTACCATTCGCCGACGGCGTCACGCTGAGAAATGTTGTATCTTGCGTGCCTACTCCGCGGATTGTAGCTTGAGATTCATCGCTGTTAGCTGCAGCCATGAGTTGATCAGCTGTCGACTTGAGCTTTGTACTGAGTGCGCGGCGTCCATGGCGCTGAAACCTACGAATGGAGTGGGCCTGCGCTTTGTCTGTCGGTTTATCGGCAATTCCCACGGGTGAAATAGTGCATGTAATAGACCTTTCGTACTGGGACATATGAATACCCAACTACGTCGGTCTGCTCTACCAAATCCCAAATCCCTCGCAAAGCTGCCTTTTTCATCACGTAGCAGTAGAGTAAGTTTTCAGGGCACTTTTCGATCCTTAAAACCTTAGATGATTCAAATTAAACAACGGAGGGATGAACACTGCGTTCCATGTGCTGTGTGGTGATCGGCTAGTGTCGGGCAGCTGAGCTCGACGAATTCGCTTATCTCCTGTCAAGGACCTTGGCTGCCGTATTGATGTGAAGGTTTCTCAGTTTAGAACGCACACCCGGGCGGCAATCGTCGAGAGGGGGGAAAGAACCGTAAACTGTGTCTATACTGGGAGGACAGCTTTAGTTGGCTGAACAGCCTAACAAATATTATTACAATGGCGCCGATGTGAACTCGTATAAGTAGACACAGTTGTATTACAAAAAATGATTAAGTACCCACCAAAACAATCGGACTTACTTAAGTAGCTCCTAAAAAATAGCTAAAGAAGCTACTTAAGTAAGTCCGATTGTTCTGGTGGGTACTTAACCAGTTCTAAAAACACGATGGTGTCTACCTATACGAG